CCCAACCTTCCTTCCGAGGAGTGACTGGTGGGTTTGAACCACCAGCCGTCTGGTTAGCAGGCAAGTGTCTTAGCCACTATGCTACCAGAGCTCCCTTGCTCCTACTAGGACTAATCAAACCCAGATTTTAGTGGTTCTCACTTCCTTGCTCTTTATAGGTTTGCTACTTAACAAAGGTTTAATGTCTGTTTCTGAATTTCGTACAAGTGGAGTCATACTGCATATATTCTTGCATACCTTGCTTCTTTTGCTCAACATTGCATCTTTAAGATTCATCCATGCATTGTTTATCTTCAGTTGATTTTCATTGCAGTATACCATTCTATTGTGCATCATAATTTATCTATTCTAATATTAATGGGTATTTGGGTTGTTTGCATTTGGGGCCATTACAATGATATGTGAATTTTTTTGTCCATATATCTTAGCACATGTAAGCACACGTTTCTTTTTGGCTTCTGGGTTTTTGTTTTTCTTTTCCTACCTAGGAATAAAATTGCTGGGACATGAGACATGTGTATCTTGGTCCTTGGTAGACATACTAAGCTGTTTTCCAAAAAATGGTTGGACTTCCTTATACCTCCCTGGCAGTATATGAGAGTTTCTTTCATTCCACATCCCTGCTAACATTTGATAATATCAGACTTTTAATTTTTTATCTATATGGTGGATGGATAGTGGTATTTCTTGTGGTTTTAATTTGCATTTCCCTGATTAGTAGTGAGGTTGTAATCTTTTTATGTTATATTGGCCATTTAGATTTCCCCTTCTTTATGTGTCTGATTAGGTCTTTTCAGTATTTTTGTATTGGGTTTGCTTGTCCTTTTCATATTAATTTATAGGAATTTTTTACTCTCTTGTCCATGTGTTGCAAACATCTTTTTTCTACTCTGTGGTCTGCTCTTTCTCTTTTTGAATTTGACCCTCTAATCTAATTTAAACCTCTGTATTTCTTTATTTAATCTAATTAAAACATCTCTTCTTTAAAGGACTATCCATCTCATTCCTGCCCTAAACTATAACAAAGTTGTTTATAAAATGCTTTTCAAAAGTTGTTGTTGTTTGCCGTCAAGTCGGCCCCGACTCATAGCAACTCCTCCTTGGGTTTCCGAGGCAGTATCGCTACAGAAGTAGATTGCCCCATCTTCCTTCCGAGGAGTGGCTGGTGGATTTGAACCGCCAGCCTTCTGGTTAGCAGTCAAGTGCCGTAGCCACTATGCTACCAGAGCTCCCAATACTTTCAAAAGTATTGATGAGTAAATAGTGAGTTGCAATAGAACTGTAGTCCATTTTTTATTTTTTAGGTTTTTTAAAAAAATGTTCCTTCCTTGAATAATTATAGATTCACAGGAAGTTGCAAAGATAGTGCAGAGAAGCCGTACATGCCCTTCGTGAGGTTATAGCATGTGTAACTATAGTACAATAGCAAAACCAGGAAATTGACACTGACACATTTTGTGTGTATAATTCTGTGTCATTTTATCACACGTGCAGATTTATGTAACCACCACTGCAACCAAAATACAGAACTGTTCCATTACCACAAAAACCTCCTTCCTGCTATCCTTTATAGCCACACCTACCTCCTCCTCCTCCTCCACTATCCTTAACCTCTGGCAGCCATTAGTCTGTTTTCCATTTCTGTAATTTTGTCATCTCAAGAATGTTTTATAAGTGGAGTCATACAGCATGTGACCTTTGGAGATTGGCTTTTTCCACTCAACATACTGCCATTGAGAGCCATCCAAGTTGTTGTGTGTGTCAATAGCTTGTTCTATTTTATTGATAAAGAACATTCCATGGTGTGATTGTACCACATTTTGTTTTACCATTCATCTACCAAGAGACATTTTGATTGTTTCTAGCTCTTGGCTATTATACAAGAAACTGCTGTGAATAATCGTGTACAGGTTTTGTGTGGATATGACTTTTCATATCTCTAGAATAAATGCCCAGCAGTGCAATTGTAGCTTTTTAAGAAACTGCAAAACTAGAGTAGTTGTACCATTTTACATCCCCACCACCAATGCAGGAGACATCCAGTTTCTCTGCACCCTTGCCAGCATTTGGTATTGTCACCATTTTTTGCTTTAGCCATTCTAATAGGCTTAATAGATATGCAGTGATATCTTATCATGATCTTAATTTGTATGTCTCTAATGGTTGGACATCTTTCAGGAGTTTAAGGAGCAGTGGTAGTGCAGTGGCTAAGGCATTTAGCTACTAACCAAAAGGTTGGTGGTTTGAACCCGCCAGCTGTTCTACAGGAGAAAAACGTGGCAGTATGCTTCCACAAAGATTTGCAGCTTTGGAATCCCTATGGGATAGTTCTGTTCTGTTCTGTGGGGTGGCTATGAGTCAGAATTGACTTGATTGCAGTAGGTTTGGTTTTTAGGCTATCCTCTTTGGTGAAATGTTCCTTAATGTCTTTTGCCCGTTTTCTTTTTACTGTTGAGTTTTGAGAGTTCTTTATATATTAGAGATATGAGTTCTTTGTTAAAGATGTAGTCTGCCAGTATTTTCTCCCTTAGTTGTTGTTGGCTGTCTTTGAGTCGATTTCAAATCATGGTGATTCCAGTGGGCTCAGTGGAACGGCTCTGTAGGGTTTTCAAGGCTGTGACCTTTCAGAAGCAGATTCACAGGTTTGTCTTCTGAGGCCCCTCAGGGTGGCTATGACCTGCCAGCTGTTCAGCTAGTAGTTCAGCACTCAACCATTCATGTCACCCAGGGGCCATTAGGTAGCCCTTTTAACATAGTCTTCCACAGAGAAAAAGTTTTACATTTTGATAAAGTCCAGTTTATCAATTTCTATTTCATGATTTTCGCTATTGTTTTATGCTTTCAATTCTATTGATTTCTGCTCTCATCTTTATTACTTCCTTCCTTCTGTTTACTTTTTTTTGCCCTTATTTTTCTATTGCAGTAAATGTTTAGAATATTGGTTTGAGACTTTCTTCTATCCTGATGTCAGCATTTAATATTATAGACTTCTTTCTCAGCACTACATCAGCTACTTCTCCAAAACTCTGACTTCTTAAGAAATTTTCATTCAGTTCAATTTTTAAAATATTGCCCTTGAGATTTTTTTTTTTTAACCCATGGATCATTTATAATTGTTTGGTTCCCAAGTGGTTTTAGAGATTTTCCTGTTTCTTTCCATTATTAATTTCTAGGTTAATTTCATTATGTCCAAAGAATACAGATCTGTATGATTTCAATTCTTTTAAATTTGTTGAAGTACTTTTTTTTTTTTTTTTATGGTCTAGGATATAGTTTATCTTTATATATGTTTTGTGGATGTTTGAAAGGAGTGTGTATTCTGATGTTGTTGGGTGAAGTGTTCTATGAACATTGATTAGATCTTGTTGGTTTGATGGTGTTGTTGAACTCATCTATATACTTGATCATTTTCGGTCCAGTTCTTCTATCATCTGTTGAAGAGGGATGTTGAAATTTCCAAATATAACTGTAGATTTGTCTATTTCTCTTTCAGTTGTATCAGTTTCTACTTCATATATTTTGTGGCTCTGATACTTGTCTATGTTGTTGTTAGATGCCATTGAGCCGGCTCTGACTCATAGTAACCCTATGTACAAGAGAATGAAGGACTGCCAGGCCCTGTGCCATTCTCACCAGCCTTGCTATGCTTGAGACCATCATTGCAGCCACTGTGTCAACCCATCTTGTCGAGGGTCTTTCCCTTCCTTGCTGATCCTCTGCTTTACCAAGCATAATATGCTTCTCCAGGGACTGATCCCTTCTGACAACATGATCAAAGTAGGTGAGACGAAGTCTAGCCATTCTTGCTTCCAAGAAGCATTGAGGCTGCACTTCCTCCAGGACTGATCTGTTTGTTCTTCTGGCAGTCCATGGTATTTTCACTATTCTTCACCAACACCAAACTCAAAAGCATCGACTCTTCTTCAGTCTTCCTAATTCATTGTCCACTTTCACATGCATGTGAGGCACTTGAAAATGCCATGGCTTGGATGAGGCACACCTTAGTCTCCAAAGTGAAATCTTTGCTCTTCAACACTTTAAAGAAGTCTTTTACAGCAGATTTTCCCAGTGCAATACAACATCTGATTTCCTGACGGCTGTTTCTGTGGGTGTTGACTGTGGATCCAAGTAAAATGAAATCCCTGGCAACTTCAATCTTTTCTCTAGTTAGCATGATGTTTGCTTATTGGTGCAGTTGTGAGGATTTTCATTTTCTTTATGTTGAGGTGTAATCTATACCAGACTATAGTCTTTGATCTTCATCAGGTAGTGCTTCAAGTCATCTTCGTTTTCAGCAAGTAAGATTGTGTCATCAACATATCACAGGTTGTTAATGGTTCTTCCTCCAATCCTAATGCCATATTCTTCTTCACATAGTCCAGTTTCTTAGATTGTTTGCCCAGCATACAGATTGAATAAGTGTGATGAAAGATTACAACCCTGACACATTCACTTCCTGATTTTAAACCATGCAGTATCCCTTTGTTCTGTTCAAACAACAGCCTCTTGATCTCTGTATAGTTGCCTCATGAGAACAATTAAGGGTTCTGGAATTCTCATTCTTCTCAATGTTATCCATAATTTGTTATGATCCACACAGTCGAATGCCTTTGCATAGTCAATAAACACAGGTAGACATCTTTCTGGTATTCTTTGCTTTCAGTTAAGATCCATCTGGCATCAGCAATGATATCCTTTGTTCTACATCCTCTTCTGAATCCAGCTTGCATTTCTGGAAGTTCCCTGTCAATATGCTGCTGAATCTGTAGGTTTATTCATTTTTTCCAAATTTGGGAATATTTCAGCCATTCTTTCTTCAAATACTTGTTCATCCCTACCTTTTTTTTCCTCTTCTTCTGGGACTCAAATGACACAAATGTTGATCTTTTGTTATTTGTCCCACATGTCTGTGAGGCTCTGTTCATTCTTTTTCCTTCATTCTTTTTTCTTTGATATTTAGATTGGGTAACAATTTTTTCTTCTGTCCTCTCCATTTTGCTGTTGATTTCATTCATTGATTTTTAAATTTTTCAGTTATTTTAATTTTCAGTTCTAAAGTTTCCATTTAGCTCTTCCTTATATCTCCTTCTTTCAGAGACTTTCTATTTTATTTTATTTATTTTACATGTGTTTCTAATTGCTTCTTGAAGCATTTTTATCATGGCTGCTTTAAAACCCTTACCATCTGTGTCATCTAGGTGCTGGCATCTGTTGATTGTCTCTTCTCATTCAATTTGAGATCTTCCTGTTCTTGGTATGACATATGATTTTTAAACTGAAACATGGACATTTTGGATATTGTGTGATGAGATTCTAGATATAAATCTTGTATTTTCTCAGGCTTCCTCTGACACTGCTCCAACAGAGGAGTGAGAGTGCTGTCTCGTTACTGCCATATCAGGGTAAATCTATTAGAATTGTGGAGAAGGCAAGGAGTGAGAAGTTCCTTGTTAATACTAAGTGTATGTAGACATTCAGATTCCCCACTAGGCCTCTATCAAAACCACTCTGGCTGAAATGGAGAAGGGTACCTTGTTACCACTATCCTTGTGGCCTCCATTGACATTGAAGTGGGTGGAGTGTGGTTGGCTTCATTAGTGACAAGTGATGGTGACAGTCCTGACTTTCCACTAGGCCTCCTTGATACTACCCCAGTGAGGAAGTAGAGGCAAGTCTTGTTACAGCCTAGCGAGGGTGGCAGTCTAGTTTCTACACTTGGACTTTGCCAGTGGACTTGGAGAGTGAAACTGCCCCCACCCCCCGTGGTGTTTGGCTGTAGTAGGGCAGTTATTTTCTAAAAGTTCTCTGTTTTGTTATGTTGCTCCTTTGCTGGTAATGTACCACAGATAGCAAGCTCTTCTTAGGACTCTTTTTGTCTATTCTCATTGGCATTTGTAGGTTGCTGGCTTCTACAGTTCCCATCCTGGGATACATGAAGCAGAAAAAAATCCCAAGGAACTCA